TATAATAGAGATGATTTTAAAATTTGAAACTCATTTTAATTTCATAAGATATCTAGTAAAATGCCTTCATGGTGACCTTAATCTGCAGTCGGGATCATTAAATTATATTCACTGTGTGTTGATAACATCACAGGATAGATAGCTATTGTTGTTTTGGAACAATTAACTGATCCCGTCTGGAGATGAAGATAGAGTTCTAAAACATCAAAGTCAAAGTTTAAGATTTATATCACATCTATTGCGTATTGTTGGCTGGGGATAATTTAATACTGAACTGACCAATGAAAGGGAAGGGGACCACCCCTCACCTCAAGAGTGCCACTGGACTTTTAGAACAGTTGAGCTTAAGCTTTCATCGTATGTACATTATTTGAATGCTCTACTTAGACAATAAAATTCTGTAACCATCCAAAGATTTATGTTGGTTATAATTATATTTATGCCTTTGACTTAATTTTTCAGGTGTACCTAACTGGTATATTATTCTTCAGCAAAGACCTATGGTACCGTATCTGGTATAATATGGATACAATAGTGTGAAATGGATATCTACCATGACCTGGGTACAGTATGACTTGGACACTTGGTTTTATATGAATATAGATTGTGACGTCATGGATTATATCCGGTATGACACGGATACAGTGATTTGTACTGTGAAGACCTTTCAGACACAGTGATGGCATCGTATCCACAGGATGTGCCGCCACCCCCACCACTACCAAGACACACCCACCACGCCTTCTTTGCTCACCATGAAGATGAAGAATCCTTCCTCCGGTGTGTCCTCTCCATCCTCACAGCCCTGGGGTACAAGCACGTCCGCACCGGTCAGTGTCGAGCAGGGGCCAACAGGTTTTCCTTCTGCACGGACTCTATTTTCAGTGCCAAACATGCGGTGGTTTGTTTGAGTCCTCAGTACCTCGGGGACAGATACTGTCGTTACCAGACAGACCAAGTCCTGTATATAAAGGGTGCCAACAGAGTGATATGTGCTCAGTTGAGGCCTTGTAGAATACCAAGGGAGCTACGACGTTGCTATGTGCTTCCTGGGAAGGATGTGACCAGCGCTGTGAAGGCTTTGATTAGATGTCTGGCTAACCCAAGATGTAAGTGAGTGTTTAAGAGAGAGAAAGAGAAAGAGAGAGAGAGAGAGATGCCTAATATGTGGAAAATCTTTAAAAATTCAAAAATGTTGGTGTTTTCCTGGCATTTTTATATAAATCATTTTCCCCTAAAAAATTTTTTTTAAGTTGATGATTAAGGGACCGTTCACATGGAAAATCTATTTTCTAAAAATCTATTTTTGGTATCTTGTAATCACGGTCTGTGCCCTGAATACCCCACGGCATAATTACAGGCAGCACGAGCCAGTTACTTCCAAAGCTGTAATTAATTCTCCGCGCTGCCAGTAATTACACTTTGATTATTGATTTTTGATTGATTATTGATCCGGATCGCCAGAAACCAATCATCTGTTCCTTGGCCCACTCCTGACAGTTCCTGAAAATTTCATCAAAATCGATCCATAATGTAGTTTTTTATTTTTGATTATTGATTATTGATTGATTATTGATCCAGATCACCACCAAAAACTAATCACTTCTAAGTTAACCCTTTTCTGACCTACACTGAAAATTCCATCGAAATTCATCCATAATTTTTTTAGTTATGTTGATGACAAACAGACAGACAAACAAACAAACAAACAGGGGTGACAACATAACCTCCTTGGCGGAGGTAACTAGAAAAGCACTCAGAGTGCACAGATCTCCACCAAGGCAGCGTAGTTCTCATTGTTAATTAATGAACCATTACCAAAATCTAAAAGTTAGCCTTTTTTTTCTTATATTATAAAATTATTAAAATTTAATGAAGTCTGTGTGTGGCTTTTTGAGTTCAGCTGTTAACTACCAAAGGAAATAACACAATCCCAATTTGGTTCAGATAATTGATAAATCAAATAGCAATTGCAGTAAAAAATTATCACATCTGTCCTTTTCAGTTATAAGGAGGAGACGAGGGATGGGATGCCTTTCAAATGTCTATGGTGGGATGAAGGTTTTGGCCAAGGTGCTTTGTAAGTATTGCAGCTGAGCTTAGTCTTTCATATTTTCAAACATGATATTTTTTTTCGTATTGATTTCAATGTGGCCCTTGACTCCCAGTGGTTATACAACTAAGATTTCTCTCTCTCTCTCTCTCTCTCTCTCTCTCTCTCTCTCTCTCTCACACACACACACACATATAATATTATATAATAGAGAACAGATCATTACAGTATATTATATTACCTGCCTTCAGGCTGTAAGTACCAGAAGAAGGCCAGACAGGCACTGGCAGAGAAGTATTCCATACAAAGACAGTACCAGAAGGGGGCCAACACCCCCGTACGGTGTGCCAACCACCCCTGTTCCCACACCTGTAAGGCCAAGGAGATTTGTTTTCACCTGAGGCAGTGTCCTTATCAGCTGGTCAAATGCCCTGGTGCCCATTGCCCAGTACAGGTGCAGCGGCACAATCTGGGCAGTCACATCAACAAATGTCCATTCTCAGCCTCGCTCAGTGGAAATGGGACTAGAAACAGATGTAATTTGCAAGAAACTGCCGTTGTAAAAGCGAAAAGATCCAGCTTTCAGTGCGGAGTCTCTGGAGCCACTTTTAGACAGGTTCTCAAACGCAAGAGGAAAATTCCGAATGTTAGTAGGTTCAGGCATATTCAGAAGGTGCCATGTATTATCGCAGAACACATCAAGGCCATTGCCATGGCAATACGGTCTATAGCTGAAAGAGCTTTGAACATAGATAATAATGAGAAGAGCTCTGATTGCCTGAGTGACAGTTTATATGAGATAACAACGAGAAACTTGACATTTTCTCCAACCCTCTGTCCTAATCCACACTGTGGGGAGATTGTCCAGAAGTCCCAGTTACCGCATCACCTGACCTCTTGCCGTTTCACCCCCCTCCCTTGTCCTTTTGATGGGTGCATTTTCAAACAGGAGCATCTTCGGCGTAATGAACTTGTTGAACATGTGCGTGTGTGCAGTTGTGCAGATGTGCAGTGCGCATGCGGAGCCTTGGTGCCGAAGTTGGAATTTATGCGTCATCACGAGGCTGTCTGTCCTGCTAGAAATGTGAAGTGTGTGCTGTGTAAGAAGATGGTAGACAGGTGAGGGTTTTATGTCATTTGTTTCTTCTGAAATAAAAAATAAATTCATGGTTATGATTTGCATTAACAAGCACAAGGGAAAAGCTGCAATGTAGTTGAGACAGTTAACCTTCATCTCATTACTGTTGAAATAGTCTTACCAACTTTATACACGCACACACACTTTTTTTTTAATTTCATAATTGTAAAATCTGTCTAAATTGCTCATCTTGAAGAAAATATCAAATATGTCTTATTCAGGACAATTTAAGTCCTTGAATGTTGGAATCCATTATAAGTTTATTATGTAAATCTTTCTTGTACTTCAGACTTGAACTGGGTCACCACAGGAGAGACAAATGTCACCAGCGTCTGGCACTGTGTCCATACTGTGGTCAGTTGCTGACCGTGGCAAAGTATGTGTCCCACCTGGCAGAGGAACATCTTTATGATGATGACACGGACACAGAAAAGGTAGGTAGATTTATGTTTGTGTTCTGGAAATCATCCAAGTGCCCATTCAGTACAGCGGACTAACAGATCTGCAGATCAGATATGGCTGACTGACTTGAATGTTTGTTGCATAATTCCCACAGGGAATCTGTTCAGTGTCTAATTGGGAATAAAGCAGCAAGTTTTTTAGTGGGTTGCTATATTTGATCTGCGGATCTGTTAGCCTGCTGTTCTAAATGTCCCCCAAGACATGCCTGTATGCTAAAATGGGAAAATTCACAGGTTGCATATTTCACATTTTTGTATGTATCCAATGCCCAGTTACCTGTGCTGAGTAAAAATCAGACTAATTATTAGTTTACCCATAATTAGATATCTCACTCTCACTCTCTGTTGATTTTAAATTTGGTTCTTAACCAAGCATTTCTACTACAGGAAACCCAGGAAATAACTACGTCCACTGCTCACAGTGCAAATGTTATTTCCCCTAAGCAAAATCATTGTAAGTATGTTGATTGTATTCAAATAATTTCTTTAGAAGAATATTTAACCTCACAAACATGTAATAACTTTATTATATTTAATATATTTAAGATTGGTATTTTAAGACTATTTTTATTATTGAAAAATTTATCCCCTCTGTTTTTGTGGATGCATGCTTCAAAACCACGGAATGTGTAAACATAGTTTTACAAAAATCTTTGATTTTCAAGCATCACAGTTTTTGCCACTATTACATTTGCACAGGGACCACAGATCAACAGCAGTGCATACAGCCACCTGTCGTTAACAGTGGGTGCAAAGTTCAAGATGAATCTGAGGATGCCACGTGGGAAGAACTCGTCCAGCTCACAACACATCCAAACCTGTCAAATGTTCGTCACCTTCGTCAAGATTCCGCAGGGAAAAACAAGATTCCACATGACACAATGAAAAACATATTGGGTGTTCCTAAAAATGTGCATCAGTTCTCCAAGTCAGGGGACCCTAATGAGGAAACAGCAGCTGGATTTCAAGAGGGTACCTGTCTATGTGACCCGATGGGCTCTTCAAAATTTGTGCCAGAATTTGAGGGGTGTAAGTCTGTCGGAAATGCACCAGGTGTTCCTGGTAACTCTGCCACAATTTCAAAGGGCACCACACAGGGAAGGGAGAACAGTGAGAGAGATGTTCTTGGTGTTAGAGGTGTGGGTGTCACAGAAACGGTGGGCAAGGAACCTCAAGATGTGGACTGCGAGGCACACTGTGGTGCCATACCAGAAGATAGTACAGAACCACAGTTTGGTGAGTGTCGGCTTGCTCCAGACCCGGAGTCATCCTACAAGGCCAACGTTCATGTTGAGAAAGCAAGACAGACTTCTTCGGCTGGGGCCAAGACAAGCTTTCCAAATGGCACAGTGTTCACAGGGGCCAGGTCACACAGCAACATGTCAATTATAGACACAAGTAGAAGTGATGGTGAGACTGCCACAGGGACCAAGACAAAATGCAGTAAAGCTGGGACAGGGGCTCATATATTAGACAGCGAGCATGGCTTAGCAAGTGAGACCAATCAAATTGAAATAAAAGCCCCAGACTTAGACAAAAAATTATCTATGCAGGTCAGAGATGCATACGGGAGAACTTCTCCAGAGAAAATAAAAGGCAAAACAAATGGTGGAAATTTAACAGTGGAAGTTGTTGAATCAGAGCAAGCAAGTAAAAGTAGTACCTCAGCAACTGAGCTCAGTTGGAGGCAAAGTGGAAGCTACACAATAATAGGTGAAGTTAGAATGGACAATAAGAGTTGTCAGTTGGACTTGAGTGAAAGTGAAGTTGACAGTGATTATCACGCTGAGGTCACAAATTTCAACTGTGCAGAAGGTGAAGTTGCGATGGTTTTAAAGCGTAAAATTTTGTCAGCCATGAAGAACCAAAAGAGCTGGAGCTTTAACACCAGCGATGACTATGTGACGAAGAATGTCCGAGAGGTTTCAGATCATCTGCCAGCTGCTTCAGATGGTTACAATGAATTAGACCCTTGTTGTAGGAAAGAGACTGAGTCTAATCATGATTTGTCCAGTGGAGACAAGGGTTTCGACCAAGAAGAGGAATTTGTTCTTGTAAGTCCCGAGGATTTATCAGATTTCCCAGTAGGTGCTGATGTGCTCTGTACCTGGTCGGAGCGAGGAAACAGCATAACCAGGCCAAAGAATTGCTTCTTGAAACTTTTTGGTAGAAAAAATAAGGAAACAAAAGCAAGAAGTCAGAGCTGCCCTGTCAAGAACAAAGGTATTTTGTTTGTTCGCACAAGTAAATTCAGTAGAAAGATTGTGAGGTGTTCAAGTCAATTTTGGAATTTTTCTTGTAGTACTTTTAACATTAGACAATAATTCTTCCTTTATCATATCTTCTGAAAGGCATTGCTGTATATTATTCCACAAGATGACTTATTGTGTTTTAACAATTGAAATTCACACAGACTGCAGTTTTGTATTTGCTGGTACAGTGTAATGATATTTACTTGATTTCATGATTACTGACAATTTATTTTATATTTCAGAACCAGTTCACGTCGAGTCCCCAAGAAAGTTTCAAGGATTTAAAAGTCTTTTCCGAGGAAATCTTTGCCCATTCAGTTTAAAAGACACCATCGACCACCTGTATGAAAAGAGCTACCTGACCTTGAAAGAAAAAAAGAAGTTTGAAACACATGCCAAAAAAGTCAAAACCTTGCTCTGCCCACTGGACGAAGCCCTGTACCGTTCAATAGAGTACCACAATCCTGATTTATTCGGTGTGGTCCAAGATGTCATCAAGGCTTTTCAGGCTGGGAACCTGGATAGAAATATCACCTTTTTTGAACACGTGTGTGAGCGTTATGCAGTGATTTTCAAGCGCAGGCAGAAGCAGAGGAAAGATGGCGGTCAGTTAACTTTTTCGTCAAATTTCTCATCACAGCAGTCATGTCATGAAAAAGCCTCTCGAAAAGTTGCAGATGAGGTGCTTCCCCCAGGTGTGGCAGAGTACTTGTTTCTGAAATAAAAAACTTTAAGCATGGTCAGTAAACAGGATGGAGACAAGATAAAATTCTTCCCTACCCAAGTTCTTGTTCTGAGGAGAGAGTCAGCTTGTAACAAATATGGCTGCTTAATTTTTATCATGCAAATCAAAGGCTGTTTTTTTTTATTGTTGTCATTTTTTCAAACTTCATGTAATTGTTGATATTTTAGATGTTTTAACACTTGAAAAGTGTTTGGTGATTAATAATTACCTCTCCCAAGGAGCTTATGTTTGTTGTTCCATTTGTCTGTCTGTAATCAACATTATGGAAATAGTTATGTAAGGATTTTGTTGAAAGTTTCTGAAACTTGGAAATGTACAAGTAGCAAAGATTTAGAAACTGGTGGTGATCTACACACCGATTAATTAGTCAGTTAATAAAAATGAGAATTGAGCTTCCTTGGCGGAGGCCAACATTCTCCAGGTGCTTTTCTAGTTGATTTTTATATTATTGAAGATATTATGAATGCTACACGTAAACATTTTATAAACCATTTTAAAAACCCAGTCAAAGTTCTTGTATTTGATTTTTGAAGGTTATGGTAGTGTTAGATTTTTTTTTAAATTATTATATTAAGTTGGGGTCAGTACTGATAGTGCCTGGTGAGGAGTTTGTACCTCTTCCTTTTTAAAAACTCATCTTGTTGTTTAGTAATAGTAATTAGTAATAGGTTGGATCTCATAATTTTTGTTATTATTTGTCAAATTTTTTAATCTAAGCAAAATGCAAATGAGAAAAATATGTTTATTGATAAATATAAAAAGCTGTATGGAATTAAGATGGAAAACTTGCATATGTCTTTACATATATATATATATAGAGAGAGAGAGAGAGAGAGACGGAGACGTAGTAGTGAAGTACAGTTTGTGATTTACAAAGGGGTTAAAATCCTAAGACATAAATATGGTGAGTCTGTTGGTAATTTTGACATTCTGTCTCTTTAACAGACAGTATTCTTAAAATGATATTTGCACTAACTGCATATCTTGATTTCTTCACCCCAGTTGTGTTCATGAAGTATAGCACAGGTACTGTCCTAGGCCCCCTTTATTTACTCTGGATGACGTCCTTTCTCGCTTCGTAGTACGGCCCCGTTTGAGAGTAAAAACTTTACCCGCCAACAACTGGCTGATCATTGAGCATTCATTATGCAACCAAAACAATGCTTGTGCCTCCTTTCTACGACCACAGCGATGCCAGTTTTCATGGTTGCTGAAAGGACGCAGAAAAGATGTATAATTGTAGGGTCATGTGAATGGTGCTCCTTGTGATTTACTGCAAGCATTTTTTTAACTACAGTGGAACTTCTTGACTTCAGAAAAAAATTGTGCTGCGATATTTACTTGAATTTGGAAATAAAGTTATATTTTTCATTGCTTGTCCTTTTATTTTATTTTCATATATTTTATAATGTAAATATTTATAAAAATGAAATCGTACTGTAATTTTAAGTAAAAATGCTTCAATTAGAAGTAAAACATTTGTTTTCTGTGGTCATATCCTTAAAAGAGTAATTTCATGGGATTTGCCACCAAAATGGATTTTCCCGAGGAAGTAAGCAATTTTCTTATACTCGTCATTCATTCATTTATCTGTCCTTTTCTGAACTTGGATTCGACCCTTAATTGAATTTATAGCTTGATTTAGTTTAAAATGATTGACCAGTCATTATAACAGCGACCATCGCCCTATATGCTCCTATGAAAATATCAACATCAAGCACGCTCCAGAAAGAAGTATTTAAGGGGTTAAATCGTTTTTAAGGTGTATGTAAGGTTCTAATAAGGTGCTCTAGATGGCAAAAATAAGCATATGGGGAATTTTCAGACCGATGGAGTGTACCTTTACTATATAATTTCAAAAGAAAAAATGAGAAAAAAATCTTTGAAAGAGTAAGAAGCAGGTAATTCTCTATAAAAAAATTCTCATGAAAACCATGAAAAGTTAATTTTTGTGACCCCCCCCCCCCCCCCCCCCCCCCACCCCACACACACACACACACACA